TCCCATTCTTGCTTTTTCTGTTTGGTGCATAGATGTCATAGACCCTACCATACCTGAGAAACGTTCTCCACATCTCATCATAGCTCCAATCATCCGGATAATTTGTGAAGAAATATGAAGTAGCTTGTTTATAAAGACCCCAATTGTATGGCCCGTCCTTCTGCATTTTCCGACCATGGTTCTGATTAAACTGCATTTTCCCCACTGCCACCTGACCCCTATTCCTCTGGTAGTTGCTGTGGCGAGATCCATCTTGCTCCCAGTTCAGTGCCGGCTATCTTACCCGTGAACGATGTCCACCGAGATCCCAACTCACTCTCTCGCTAACTCTCTCTCTCATCTCTGTTTATCTATCTTTTCTCTGGAAATTATATTCTGTTAAGATTTTTTTGTTTCCGTTTCTAATTTTCTTTCTAAATTTAATTGTTTCAGGATTTTGTGCTCCTTAATGTTACACACACAGCAGAATTTGGCAAAAAAAGAAAAAACGAGGCAGATTAGAAAACCCAGGTTGGGAATTTTCTTTTTTGGTTTAAGACAAGATATGTATAATTTCATTAAAATAAATTATTACAGTAGATTATCATATCAGATGTGTTAGTATTTCTCCAGTTGGTAATATTTTTTCAAATGACGATATTATTGGGATTATTTTTTTATATCATTTTTTTATATAATTTTTATATATTATTAAATAAAAGATATAATTAATATTATAAATTTTACAGATTTTATATGAATAAAAAAATTAATTATTTAAATAACATATTAAATTATATCAAAATAATACAAAAAAGTATCCTAAAATCATTTCTCTTTTTCCAGTGGATTCTTCAAAATTTTCTTTTCTAATTGTAATTAGATTTCTTTTCCGCGTTTTAAAGCGGTCAAACTTCCATTTTTCATTTTCGGGAAACAAATATTTGATTAATAAAGCCACGGATGGCTGACAACAATGTATTAATGAAAAATAAAAACTATTAGTGGAATGATCACGTTGCCACCCACTATCAAATTTATATACACAAAGTCCATTCCCTATTAAAATAAAATAAAAATATAAACACAAAGTTGCGGCATTGAAGAACCTCAAATCCTTTTTCATTTTCATCCTTACTAGTGTAATGCTTATTCCTTTAACGCCCACCCTCGGAAAAATTAAGACCTAATTCTTATTCACCAATTCCAAAATGTTGTGCTTGGAATTTTGAGAGATGGTTATATAATTGACTTTTTATTTTTTTTCATTGTGTATCTATAAAATCAATTAATGTGTATATATTTATTTAATATCATATTATAAAATATTTTCAAGCTCCACTATTGCTATCAAAAGGAAAGTACTTGCTTGGAAAACAATTTTGTATGTTGTATTCCCTCCATCTCACAACATATATATGTAGCATTTTTTACCATGAACACAAAATAAGAAAGACAATTATTATTAAAAATACAGTAATTTATGTCTTTTGCAACCTTATCCTTAATTAGTGTGTTAAGAGATATGAGATGAAATATTAATAGCTTGTTTGATATGAGGGAAATAGAGAGAAGGAAAGTGATGTTATTTCAACTAATTAAATTAAATTGTTGAGCCAACAAAATAATTTAAAAATAAAGTATTTATCAATTAGATCTGTAAAAAATTAAAAAGAAAAATATTTCAAAATTATGTTGTTTCATTAAACTTCTATTAAAAAAACTAAAATAACTTATTTTTAAAGTCAAAATAAAGGGTGTTTGATTAAGTCTTTGTCTATAATACTTTAATAAAACAATATAATTTTAATCTTTTTCTTCTAATTTTTTAGAATCAGTCGATAAACTCTAATTTCATAATTTAATTAGTTATAATTATTTTGTCTCATAGACTATAAAAGTGATGAGATTTAGTGAAAATGTATTCATGCGTCAGAATTTTGAAGGTAAAGCAAGACACTTTGCTTGAACAAAGGTCTTTACTCTTTGGTGGTAGGTCCGCTACAATGGCCCTTCACTGAAAAAAAATAAAAATCTTTGCATTTTTAGTGGTGGACAAATAGTCACTAGAAGTATGGTTGCCATTAAAATTGGGGTGAAAATCCATGGCCAGCCATCCACCTTAATGGCTATGAAAGTTTCAGCCCCTCAATTTATAATATGAAAGTTTTATCCCCTCATCTTTTCGACCTAAATGAAAAAACATAAAATGGATGGTGGTGTCATGTGCTCATTAAAATTCCATTACCCATCATGGACTACCACCATGGCAATTCCTTTCCATTGCCATGTTAAGGACATAGTTTTTTGCTTTTATTAAATCTGATAAAATTGAAGTCAATTTGAAAATACAACCCAACCTATTCGCTGTGAGTAGGGTTATGGGTTTAAGATCTCAATTCGAAATCAAATATAAGTCATATCAAAATTATTTAGACCCAATTGGGTTGAGTCAGAATTGGGTCAAGTCAACTCAAAATAACTTGACTAAAGTTAATTAATTTTTTTAAATTTAAAATTTTGATTAATTATATTTTAATTTTAATTT